CGCCGCCGCAACCCGGCCCGGCCCCGCTGCCAGCGCCTTCCCCCGCCGCCCGGAACTGCCCTCGCAAGCCGGCAGGATCAGGCAGCGGGCTCAGTCCCGCTGCCAGCTCAGCTCCTGCCCAAGGTTCAGACACGCAGCTGCAGCTCAGAGGGGGCGAACAGCGCCTTGTGCTGCCGACGCACGCAGCAGCAGCTCAGAGGGAACAGCGCCTCGTGCCTGCCGCTGTGAACAGCCGGGAAAAGAACGGCTGCGGCCACTGCTCTGCGAGACTTACTTCTCTGTGCGTGACTGTAAATTGCACACACACGTTAGCATTTGTTTTGGCACAACACATGCAAAGACTGAAGGAAAATACATAAATGTCAGCATTTAAAAAAAAAACACTTATGCAAGATTGCTTACGGTTAGGCTCCAGTCCGCCTTATCCAACAGCGTCTCGACTGCCCAAGGCTCACAGCCGAAGATACCAAGGGACGATCAGGCCTCAATTACATGCTGCAATCATCTATAACGATGCAAAAATTAAACTACGATATGCGTATGCACACACTGCTTATGTGCTTTATGATCTGTGCACACACATAACACTAGAGTGCCTGACCAAATACGCACAGGTTGGTACAAGCTAAATAATCACAAGAAGGGATTTGGGTAGTTTTCTACAGAGCCGATTAGAATTCTTCACAGAGAATTGATGCTGCCACCAGTAAAACGCCTTCCCTCAGGGCCCCAGCCCTTTAGCCTGTTACCCGCAAAGGCAGCAAGCGAGGATGTGCCACACCAAGAAACGGATGGGGTTACCGGGTAGGAATGAGCCATGAAGGAACATGGAGCCCGGCCCACAACCCAAGGTTATCAGGAAAGGATCATCTTCACAAATAGACCTGATTACAGGCCTGGAGCGTTATCAGAATCTGCAAAGCATAGAGATTGCTTTAGCAATTTAACAGGCATCTAAGACATATTTACAGCCAAATTACAGACGTTATTCTTCAAATAACTCCTACAGAAGGGCAGCCACACTGACTTGGTCTAAAACAGTCTTACAACTTTCTCATGAGGTTAGAACGGGGACTGAGTGAATTAGTCATACTGTAGGGGTACAAGAGCCAGAAAAAATGCAGATAAATCTCCATCTTGTGAATTGTCTGTAATTATCACATTCTCTGCAAAACCTACGTGGCATACAAAGATGAGCCTACTGCTGCAGGTGAGATCAGTTCAGGGCTGAAGACAAGCTGACTCACACGGCACCCAAGCACTAAACAGGTGATGGTAATGGACAGGAAACAGCAACAAGTATTAAAACTTACTGATTTTATTAAAACCAAAATGTAAGAATTCATTTTTCCTTGTTTTTCTCAATTTGGGAAACAGAAAGAGGATTCATTTAAAAGAAAACTTCCAACCTATTCACATTACTAATGCAAAATGAACCAAGCCTCTACAGAGCAACTGCTTTTTTTCCTGTTTCAGCAGAAAAAATTGGACCTTTGATTTTTCCAGCTGAAAAGGATAAAGAAAGAAACAAAGAGCACTTACAATTCTAATACAACATTAATTATCCTAGGACTAATCTTTTCTAACATACAGAAATTAGTTCAGTATTACTAACTACATTAAAGCCAAATTAATTCAGCTATAAAAACATGCATATTTTATGATGTTTAAAAAACCAAAAAAACAAAAAACCTGAGGAGCATAGACACAGCATTTTCTTTTAGCCCCTGTAACAAAACAATAATATTAAATTAAGCAGTAAAGAGGGGAAAAGAATTCTGCAAAATAATACAATTTATCACCTAAACTCAAAGAGATAATCAGCACAAAACATACTATGCCCTAGAAATATTTTACATTTGACCTTGGATTCAAGTGTAATTGTTGCTACACAATTCACATAATTTAAACAAGGGGAAAAAAAAATCTACCTACCTAGATTTCTTTGTATTCCACAGCTTGACTGCATTCCAGGCTGTCACATGCCCAGTTCCAACTATTTTCCCCACTTTAGGTTCCTTTTAGAAAGAAATGTCGAAAAGGTTGAAAACACTATTTTTAGCAATAAAGCTTCCAAACATTTTGAAACACTTAATCTTTTATTAATTGACATTCTCACATATACTGAATAGATATAATCCTCTCAGGGTTGCTCCTAAGAAAGGGTAGAAAAAATACCATGCTCCTTGCTGGGGGGAGCCTTTATTACACAAACTAATTTGTGCTGCATCGTGTCAGACATGAACCACAACTTACAAAAAATTTGTAAAGGAGCTTTCAGGCATTGAGAGTGAAGGGTATGGCAAGAAGTTAGAAAAAAGTTCATGGTCTTATTAAAAAACATCTTTCTGATGTCCACTGACAGCAAAGATTCTTTGCTTGCCATAGTCAAGAAGAATGGTTTATCTAAAAAACAGAAGGAAACCTGTCAATAATTTACATATCCTCATAATTTCTTTAGTCAATTGAACTTGGAACTAGTGTATTCATTTAAAATTGTTTAAAATTTCCCAAAGGGCAAGTAAGTAACTTTATTCTCTAGTACCATGCAGCATAAATAAGGTTTCAACTACTGGGGATTTTTATTCTTTAGCTGGTATGTCACAGCTATTTAATGGATTAGTACAATGTATTTTATTATTCTTCATACAGAATACTACAGTAGAGCAAGGTTAGAGGAAAGTCTTAGCTTTATATGTGTATTACATAAAGATGTACAGACACTCCATTTATTTTTAAATGTGTTAACGTCCCAAGACTGCTAGATTAATTTAAAGATCAGGAGAAACAGAAGGTGGTAACGGCAAAATTTTTCTCACTGGAGAAGACAGATGACAGAATACACACTTGGATATCATTTGAGAGTCACTACACTGCAGGTGTAAGAAAGGTTTTTCACATTCTTCACACTGGTGTAAATAGAACAAAAATGGCATTTCAGTTAACCACCTGTGACAGATGTGCATTATTCCACTCATGAAGGTACAGCTCTACATACACACATATATCTAGGCCTGATTTTTGAGATGCATTGATGTATAGCTGTCGTAAACTTGACACAGATAATGCTGCTCAAAATTCATTCCTGTGTATTTTATGTGAACTCTGATTTTATTTTTTTCAACTAATACAGTATCATACTTTACTTTTTGGGTGGCTTGATGGGTATCCAGTTTTTAGCTGTTCTGTCTTGGTGATAATCACTAGGTGGTTTGGGGCTTTTTTTGTTTATTTTTTTTTTAACCTGACCATTATCTGACTAAAGGAGAAATGTAGAAAGAAAAATTTAAAAAGGATAATTTATACATAACAATAATTTTAGATTAAATATTAACCCACTGTAGTCACTACAAAGAAGTTTTTCTGCTGACTACACACATACTCATGAAGTTTAATCCACTTCTATCAGAGTCAACATAACATTAATTCCCAGTTCACTCTTGTGAAAATATTTACAAAAAATTTGAGACATTTTTCTGTTTGGCATGCTTTAAGTATTGCTAAAATGCACCAAAGAATCCTTTCCTGTACCAATTTTAACCATATTCTCAAATTTCTGTTAATTGATACTTTTAGGAATGTACACATCTTCACTGCTGGCACATTTATAAAACTTATTTAAAAGCTTAAAAAGCTGCACATTGAATACCTGCTATTCAACAAGAAAGTCTGATAAAAATACTATAGAAATAATAATAAAGTTAATTCTTTTTCATGCAATTTCACTTATTGGTTATTGACAAAGAGAAAAATATACACAAGATCTTGCAAATCCACTACCAAAACCAATTGAGGGACTGTAATAAAAAACATGTTTCAATAGCATTAAGCTTGTTAATGTTCTTCTCTCTTAACATCTATTTCTAATTCATGTTTTAGAAGTCAGAATACATACAGTCTCAGCTTTAAAAAGACACTCCTCGGAATTCATATAAGCTGATTTATGTCCAGGAGCGCATGAATATTACCTGCCTTGGTTTAGTAATACTCCTGTATAAGCAGCCTATTACTCTGCAGAAGCATCAGGTGTAGAAAACCAAAGTATTTTTAAAAGTACACATACATGGCTCTGTTTTCTAAAAACAAAAATGCACCTGTACATGAAAACTGGTGTCCTTACCAAAATAAATTTAAAAAAAGAACTGTTATTACTACATCCCACTCCTAAAAAAGGATTTGACAATTTTTGCAAATACAGAACAAACACAATCAATTTGTGTTTTCAGCCTGGAAATCTGACAGCTTTCCTTTAGCATTCAAATTTTCTTTCTGAATAAAGTATGGGGTGTGGTTAAAAAACAATGTGATAGGACCTGAGCAATTTTTGAGCCTCTTGCTTTTCTGCTTTCTATCACTGAAGGAATATGATCCGTTATTTCAATATTCCACAGTCTCAAAGTAGAATCCTGAGAAAAAGATGCAATTATTTTGATGTATTTGCAAATTACCAAAAAAGCAATTTACATCATCATTTCCATAAGGATGAAATCTCATCTCATCAGATTAACCCTCTCAATGAGAGCTAAACTCTCTCGCATTTAAATACCATGTCTTTGGAAACAATCTTTAGCAGTCTTAAAACTGCCTGCACATTTAAAAATAACCAAAAATAAACATACTTATCAAATTCTTTTAAAGATTTTCTGTAATTACTTGAGGTAAATACTGATTACAACTTAGCACTTTTATGAACAACTTCGCCATTGTTAAATTTCATCCAAAAAAAAAGCTGAAAACAAGGGATGAAATCTTCACATCCATTTATAAGTTAGCTCCTGAAACCACATCAGGAATTAGTGATTACCTTTGAGGCTGAAAGAATCCACCACTTGTTTTGCTAATCGCAACATCTGTCACCCAGTCCCAATGACCCTACAGTAAAGCAAAATTTAACTATAACACAAGGAAGAAAACTTTAAACCTAGTTGTACCATAAATCCATTTTGAAATGCAGTGAGAAAATTCTTATCTAGACCGACTCATGTCCAGTCAATAAAAAAATGTTATGAAGTTCATACTTTCCTACATATACCTGAAAACAGTGGCTGTTACGATCTCTGGTAACCAGACCACCAGCTGTGGCACTCAGAATGACAGCTACACAGTTACCATGGGTTTAAGCTCGATTTAAGCATAGGTCTCTTCTATTTTTTGAACAGTTTAATAGAGGATTGTAAAGAGAGAGTTGACTTCTAATACTCATTACCTAAAAAAATCTTGAGGCTGTTTATCATGTGATAATGGAAGGAAGAGCTGTGGGAACAGACAGCAGCTTCCCCCCATTTAAGGGAAGGAAACCAATTCTGAAAGCAGGCCAAGTCAAGCAGCTGTATCGGATATCCTCGTTCTGACAACAGCAGCACCGCTGATTTGAGGTTAACAGCATTGAGTTGGCATAAGAATAGAAACAGGTTAAAATCTAAAATGAATTATTTATTCCAGCTAGGGAGGTTATTCAAACATGAATGGTATTAACAGATAAAATTCCGAGAGTTTACGAAAGCATGGTGTCATTTTGATAGCCAAATGCCACACCTAAGAAATACAATAAAAAGATGAACATACATTTTTCCAGCACAGAGAAGTCATCAAACATGTATACATAAAATGTGGTTTTTACAGCAGAATCTTTAAAACATGTTTTTAAACTTAGTTATGAGCCCAGAATGTAATTATACCAAGGCACGGATACTCAACTGGAATTCTCCATAGTTACAAAGATATTAGCATTTAAACAGATGCCTTCTTTTTTATGGGAAACTGAGTTACTTACAGTCATTGCTGTGAACTGGGAAACTTGCAGTAGCTGTATTACATAAAGCACCGATGCTGGTGGAGAATGTGTACTGTTACTGCTCAAAAAGTTTAATCAGTACAGTTCCAGTTCCGGAGGGTAGGTAAGCTTATGTTTAAGGTAACGGGTGTGAGGCACAGCCTTATGAGCTCTCCTATATGAAGATGCTATCTTGAATGCGACAGCAGTTGAAAGCTATTTTTAAGCCCAAGGTTTTGAAGGAAAGTGGTCTTTTCTGAGATCTTCCAGGTGGGTTTGTTCATGAGTGTTTTAACTAAGCCTTGAATAGTGTATGCAGTAAGTAAAAAAAAAAAAAAGTCCATTAAAATCATATTTTCATAAGATAAGAAAGAGCCAAGGTTGCAAATCTGAACTCTGACATTGCTTGACTTCTGTGAAATTAACATTTGCAAAACGCATGCACGTAACTATGAATACTGTTAATCCTTTTTCTTTGACCCACATGTCTGATCATTAGTTCAAGTCTTGTGGATTGTTTCCACCAAAATAAGAAACAAATGAAAGGTATTGTAATACAATATGGTATGTTTGCAAAAAATAAAGTCATGATGGCACAAAAAACCCCTAATGAGAGTTGGACTTTTATTTTATGCAGATATTACTTACTGCCTCAAATTTTAGGTAGTATTATCATGGATACAGAAGAAAAGAGGAGGCCTAGCTCTAAGCAGGGATGGCTAAATACTAAATAGCTACCTCATTTACAGAATTGTCCATCCTAAAAAGTACTGTAACATGGTGGACCACATCCCCATCACTATAAGCAGTAATGTAAACTATGTAACCTAGGGACTGAGCTAAGCTTGACAACCTCAACACTGATATTTACTTTTTTTTTTTAATGCTTCCCTTTTTAATGTACTGTTTTCTGTGGACACAAGCAAGCATGTAAACATACAGATATACAAGAGTGCGGCATTTCAAAGTGAATATATGCACTATCCAGGCTCTTGTTACTTGCTGGAAGAAACTCTCTCCTGTAACATAGGTACAACTCCGTTCAGTATAATCCTTAAATGTGCTTGTTCATAAAAAGAGAAATGTAATAGCTTATTAACAACTGACTTGACAAAGGTAGTATCTTTGTAGCTAATTGTGTAAGAATATGCTGTTCTAGGAAATTAAATCATGCAAATCCAGGATATATTCCTGCCTGTATCTAAAAAGGACGGGCAAGGGTATTTGTCAGATAATGAAATATACAATGCTTTTAAACCAGCAATACATTTTACACCTTCTCATCAAATTAGTGACCAAATAAGAGCTCAGTACCTTTAAACTTAGCTTTTTATAGCCTGCCTCTGTATCCCATATAGCTATAGTTTTGTCATATCCGCCAGACACAAGTGATGCTGAAATATAAAATCAGAATACTATATTTTATCTTTGCTTTATCATACAGACTAATAAAAGAAGCTCCTTCTAACAGTGAGTCAGACTTTATAAAAAAATTTAAATAATGAGCTATTAGTCATGCCTTAACAAGATAGCAGAAGTTCCTTTCGGCTACTTGTTGTTCATGTTCTTAATTTTGTAAATATTAATATATAAATTTATCAAACACACAACTGAGTGGAAAAAACCATACATGAAAATTCTGTTGACTTAGAAAATTAAGGAGATGTTTAAGAATTAAAATATAAAGAACACTTTCAGAATTGTTAGGTCAACTGTGAATAAAAACAAAAAAGTAGAGTTTAGTGTGGAAAGCATGCTTTCAGATTCCAGTATTCATAGGCCTATCTGTATTTGCATGTCTTCAAGCCACAGGTACATTTTTCCCCACAGAGTTGCTATTTATTTATTTGAGTTGCCTAACTCAGAAGGCACTGTATGAGTATGACTGCAGATTAACCCGCTGTCAGCAGTTCAGGAGTCATCTTTACCGGAGTATTCAGATGTGAAGTTGCAAAAGAAAACAGCCAATTAGATCACAATGTACAGAAATTCCTATTACTCCATCCCAGTGAAGAGAGGAGAAGCAGTTTCAGCACAGCAGCAGTTCACAGTAACACCAATTTCATGTTGTGGAGGGACTAGGAGTTGTGTATGATCTAGTGAAAGTAATGTTGCTAGGGCAATAAGAAATAGCTCCCCACTACCTGCACTCAGATACAGGTAAACTGGGGAGTCTGTTTCTTCCTCCTATTCATGCAAGCATCGAGGAGACATCAAGTTCCAGGTGCCAAATTGTCTTGCTATAACTCATAAATATCATCTACTTTGAGCACATAAACCGCCATGTTCAATCAGTGTAGCTGAGAACATCCACGAAGTTTTTCAGAAGTACATTACTAGCATATGTTGTTTGGGCTGTGAAGTAACATTACTTTTGGGGGTACTAACAAAGACATACACATTTTCCTAATTATTACAGATCAGAACAGTATTTACTGAACATGTTTTTTCAACTAACTCATGTTAGGAGAATATCCGCATGTGCTAAGTTAATCTTCTAACATAGTATTGTGCTTATACTCCATTATGATCTTTTTATTATACCTCTTGATGGGTATATCAATTAAGCAAGCGTTCCAGTTGCCTGGTTAAGACAGAACACAGATCATCAACTTCAATTTACTTATTTACATGGACATCATTTTCTCATCATTAAACATGTTATCTTGGAAATGATGAATTAATTACCTACATGATTAGAGCGGTCACTCGTTCATCTGAGATGTCCTATACATAGGTATTGAGATACATTGTGCAGTAGTATTAAGACAACTCACTGTCTTGGCTAAAAAGGCAGGAACTAACAGAACCTTCATGTCCTTGGTTCAAGGAAATGGGTTCATGACACAAATTCTCCTGTCTTTATGTCCCATATTTTTGAGCTTTTGTCCCAGGATGCTGTGCACAAGTAATGACCGTCAGAGGTAAAGCAGCAGTCTGAGATAGCATTGCCATGTCCCCTGAAACACAGATGAAAAACACAGGAAGAGTGAGGTTTTGTAACCATTACAAATCTCTCAAAGAGCCTCCTGCAACATTAAGCACCCTGTCTCCATCCAGTAAAGCACCATAAGCATATTCTGAATTTTAACCACATGGAATAGTTCTGTAAAGTCTCTGGAGCTACTTACAACCTCACAGCCAGCACGGGCTTAAATCCCTTATTGGATTAGGTCATTTTGCAGGACTGAACCCTAGCTGTTAAGTGACAAGTGACCAGCTATTTTTTTGTTTAATGCAGCTTAACAAGAAATTGTTTAGCAGCTACAACACAACCACATTTTACTAAGTTACCAAAAAAAGCCACCCATTTTTCATTAAATAAATAGCATGCATCTATCTCCACATGTAAATTGCAACTCAAACATTCAGAGGAAAAAGATTAAACAATTCTAGATTAAAGTCTAGTTTTGGAAGCAGTGATACCCATCAGAAAAGAAATCTGGACGTTCCAGAACTGGGTGAGGACTCTAGTGCTTCCTGAAATCTACAGTGGGGAAAGGATTATGAGCATCTCTTACAGGAAACAATGCTGTAGTCATTGCAATTTAAAAGAAACATTACAATGTTGCAGATTGAATTTCCCATCCAAAGTAATTCCTAATCCCTCAAAGACAATTTTATTACAGTGTTTAAAGGCAGACTCTCTCTCCGATTATTGTTTTCAGAATTCAAAGCTAAATTGGTAGGGCTTATTTAAAGCCATTGATATTTTTAACGGTTGATTTGACATCTCTATTGTTGCATACTTCCTTTGTAAAATGATAACAATATCCTAAACTGACATAATGTTTTTACTGTATTACTGACTTCAGTGAGAGATATGAGAGTTTAGCACATGAAGACTCAGGAAATCATACTGAGCAAGGCTTCTGGCACTGGGCATGACCTTCTCCAAAAGCAGATAAGGAAAAATGATCTGGAAAAACTATCTCTGTACTCAGGGAGTGGCCATAATTGGCTCACTGTGAAAATGAAAGTACAAATTGAGCTGGGGTCCACAGCATCTGTCCTGAATCCAGTCCTATTTCATACTTCCATTAGCAATCTAGATAATGAGATAAAGAGTACAGATACGAAATGAAGCCAAAAAGGGTCTGCAGTTATACAAGGGAGAAGATTAAAATTCAAAATTATCTTCACAAATTGAAGAAATCATCAAGAAAATAAAAGGGTTATAACAGTCTCTCTATAGGAAACAAATGCTGTCATCACTGCAGTTTGTAGGAGTGTTACGGTGTTTAATCCATTGTTTAATATGCATGCTGCCTGATCAGGTCAATTTTGTCAAGTCTGACATTCTGTAGTAACATACAAATAATCAACTGCATAGATAAGAGGTGGGAACAATGGACTACGTCACAGTTCTGCAAAAAAAGGATGCAACAAATATTGACTCCTCTTCACCATCACGCTGTCAAAAAAAGAGTAAATCTCACCCCAGGATGTATGAACAGAGGCACACCCACAGAGAAGCACGTAATAATAATTCATTTCTATTTTTTTCCAGTTAGAGGGGATACTGTTTACATTATGGGGCCATATAGTTCAAGAAAAATGTGGGCCACTTGGAACGATCTCACAGATCAACAACAAGAATGATCAGTAAAATAGGAAATAACAACTAAATATTAAATTAATAAGGATGGTTTAATCTACTGAAAAGATGACTCGGCAGATATAATAGAAGTTCTTGGATATACATAAAAATGTAAAAGAAAACAAGGAATAATCTGATCTCCATGTCTGAAGTGGATCTAAACAGAAACATGTCAGCTTAAGCTGCAGCCAAACTAGTCCACCGTAGGAAAAGGCAGTGAGGCAACAGAACAGATTGTTTGGAAGTCTGTGAGGTCTTCACTGGAGCTCATTAGAAGCAGAGTAGATCATCCTGTGGTTGCTCTGAGGCCCATGAATTTTATGGAGAGCTGAGGTGATCTGGTTGCAGTCCAAAACCTAATTATCACAAAATATTCTGTAAGAACTCATGATTAATTATCAATTCCCAACATCTAGATATATTTTCTCCTTTTCCTCTGTATTATTTTTGCTTCATTCCATAATGTTTTTAAAGACTTCACTATTGTAAGTAATATTTTATCTCCTCATTTGTCAATTATCATATATTTTTCCTAATCAGTAGAAATTAGAACAAGGAGTTTACACTGCAGTACCATATTGCATATACTATCTTCTGTCTCTACATATACCTAAGAACCTAGAAACTCTAAAAAAATAGCACCAGAAATGCTTACAGTCATCAAAATACAATTTTTCAGTTATTTACAGCAGGAAGCTTGAGTGGACCATTTTATTCACGCTTTCTATATATGTCATTTTCTTGCGTATTACTTTATTTAGTTCAACAATTATTGTTCATCTTCTCTAGTACAAATCTTAGCATAAATCTCACTGATAATTGTGAAAGATGCAAATAAGGCCATGCATAATTAACTATAGTATTGTTTCTTACTCATTAATTGTAATTGAGGTGGATCGTGTTATCACATCCGATAGCTTTATGGTCTTATGGTATGATACTGAAGTCACTCTTTGGTTATCAGGGTCAAAACAACATCTTGTGATTGTACTTTTGTGATGATCAATACAAAAAACATCAAGTGAGACTATTAGTTATTTTGAATAATTACATCTGGATCTCAGAACACAGGTCTGAAAGGCAGAACTACCCATAGCTTCTATGCATCAGTCTACTTCCAAAACACTGTAATGTCAAAACTGCTATTTCACTGGCTGGGACACCTCCTCACCTACCTCCCAATGACAGAGAGGCCTCATAGTTACTGCAGATATTACGAATATGAACCTGGACCCGGGCACTCAACTTACACAGCTGACAAATTCACATGCTGCCCTGTACTAACTTATTTCTCCGCTCCATTCCTGAAAACAAGCCCGGAAGTGTGGCCCTATAATGCCAATGACACTTAACTACTCAGACGCTTAGGGAGCACTTAAGCAGGTAATTATACTTTAAGAATGCAAATAGCTTCATTAAAATAATGTAAACAAAATATGTCCTGGTAGTGTCGCCTAACAGAGACAGTTCTAATGAAGCTATTACGATCCATTTGTTGCACTTTTTATTTTTAAAACCAAATTATTCTACCATCAGGCCCTGATTCACAGGAGCACGTTAACCATATGCTAATTTAACATTTGTAAGACTGCTCATGCATTTAGAAGCTGATTTTGCAGGAATGGCAAACTCCCTGACCTCCAGTCCTGAGTGGAAGCCTCATGGAACTGAGGTCTCACTAGTGAAGTTACCTTCAAAGGGAAATTATGCTTCAAAAAAGAATCACTGTTGGTCTAATTTTGGCCTATCAACTCCTTTTTACAAGCCTATTCTGAAAAATACTGGGTTTAATGTCTTCCAGATAAGTTTCTTTTGCCTTTCTCAAGTGAGGATATTTAAACTGAACTGAATTAATTAATTTTGTCAATTTTTTGTAAGAAATAAAAAAACCTCAAGAGCTGCATAAACAAGATGTAAAAGTTGTAAGTCTTACCTCGGATGTGTGCCACTACTGTTGCACTTATTGCATCAAAAACATATATGGTATTTTCTTTGTCTGAACCAGATACCATGTATCTACCATGGCAAGAAATATTACATGAAGTTACAATGCCTTCATGTTCTACTGTCCACTAAAGAGAAAACAAAAGGTTTTAGAAACGTGCTTGAGGGTTAGAGAGAGTTTTACAGCAGACTTTCTACAATCTGTAAGCAGGTTCAGAAAGAAGGCTTTTGATATTACTTTGTTTTGGTGAAAGCTGATAGAAAAATTGGATATAAAGACATCTACTTTTGCATTAGCAATAAACTTAGACAAGACCACCCTATTCAAATCCTAAAATGTTAATCAATCTTAAATGTATCTTCTGTGACAGGTTATTATTATCACACCCATTTGCATCTGAAATAACTGAGACGTTCATCAAGAGACTTACCCAAGATCAAGCAATTATCAGTACCAAAACTAGGACTAAAAATCAAGCCTACCTACCCTAACTATATTGTATTGTGCTAGCGAATAATGTTTTGTTTACTTATTTATCAATAACAAAGCAATAAATCTGAATTTTACAGTTGTACCTTCTGCAAGATGCATTCAAAAGGATACATACAAGTATTCTTCCTGTTTCCATATCCCAAGCCTTGGCAGTATTATCATATTATGATGTTACCACCCTAAAAATTATGTTAGTGAAAACAGCAATCAATGTTTTCACTTAAAAGAAGGTATTTAAAAAATAAATGACATTTAATTCTGACAAGGAGTTGACATCCTCACATCCACTAATTTAAAATAGATTTTTAAAGACTACAGCAAAAATCATTGCATAGCTTAGTTGAAAAAAGGATTATTTATATTTCAGATAGAAACTAATAATAAAAATGTCATGTATGTAATTTTCAGTGCAAGCAGTCAACTCAATTTCATTTCATCCAGTAATTATTTCTAATGTTAGAATGATTTTAAAGCTATTATGATGTCTTTTCTTTAATGAATGTGAAGTGTTCTTGTCAGTAGGGTTTTTTTGATTTTCAGTGGCTATGTCGCTACGTAACCCGCTACCACAAACACTGCTCTGCACAAACACAAAACCACATTAGACAAAGCTATTCAATAAAGTTTACTAAAACTAGCAGGTTTGCATGAAATGAGAGGTTAAAAAGTTTTCCTTCACACAGTTTTATTAAAATATTCCCAAATACCTAAAGTAATATTTATATTGAATGTCACTGGATATGACACATTTTTTTATTGTCCCGTTTTGTTTTTTCATTTTGATAAATACAAAAACCTGCCACTTCTATATATTTTGCCCAAGAAACTCGATGCATTAAGATTCTAACAACTAAAAATTCAATTAGATTATTAAAATCTTTTTATTTTCTCTGTATGTGTGTACTGCCCGCAACCAACACAATCCCTGCTCCTAAACGGAAACACGTAACGCAAAAGACCACATGAAGTTTATGAACTGGTAGCATTTTTGATTGGAAAGTGGTTTCCAGGGCTGTACACAATGGTATTTTACTTGCTTTTTAGCAATTTTCAAAAATACACACAATTGCAGTAGGCAAGGTAGCACGTGTACTATTCAGTGATCAAAAACCTAATCAGTCAACTCTACAATCTGATAAAAATTGATTTAAACTATGACTTAATAATAAAATATGCCAGAAATAGTACCCCTGGAGGCACTGCATGACCTACTTAACTGAATGTTAATATATGCTACAGTTGTTTTAATTATTATGTCCACAGATTGACACTGGATTAAGATGCATTTCTTCTTTAATTGACAAGACAGGCTTAATGGAAAGGCTATAGACTATTAATAAACAATACGGACAGAAAAGAACTTTTATGAAGGTATAAATCTCACTGACAGATGAGCCCCTGAACCTTGGGTAATTCAATATTGTTCTTTTATACATGTGATATATATTTACATACCTCTTTCAGAACATATGGCAAAGATAGACTTCCACCCCCATATAACTCAAAAACAGTATTAGACAAGTCCTTTGCCCTAAAAGAGGCCATAATCTATCAGACTATTCCAACATGCATTTAAGACAATAAAAAGATTCTTGTTTAATTCAGCAGACATCATATGCAAAACAGAAAAGATTTAAGAGCTCCTGTACAAATTGAGGGTGAGAACAAGGTGAGATTTATGGTAGTTCACGTGGATGAAGGAGTCTGGCAGTAAACAGTCTGCTAACAGAGTATGGACAGCATAAATGAAAGTGCAAGGATGGAGAGAAGTAAGAAGAGCGTATGGAAGAAGGGAGACGTAAGACAACATTATAACAGAATGACTTATCGTGGAACACAAAAGTAAGCAAAAGAAGTTTGACTTTGATGTAGTACAAGTTAGGAAACCATAGGAAGGATTGAAAAAGTAACTTATCTGTACTAAATTTTGTACTAAGTGTTTCCACATGCACTGAAATTGAACCCTGAAATCACAAAAACCATCACTTTTTTTTTTTTAATAAATTAAGATAGAACATGGTCACCTTCTGTCATAAGGAGTCAAGTTGCACTCAGAAATTGGCGGCAGAAACTCAGAAACTTGAATAGGAAAACCTTTCTCAACATCCTTGAATAAATCCAGATGAGTTTGATTAGGAAGTGCTTTGCTAAATTGTAAAAAAAACCCAACCAAACAAAAAAAAAAACCAAACAACAAAGCATCACAAAATAAGGGACAACAAAACTTGTGAAATCAGTAAAATAACTCTTTAGTTACTCCTAAAATCTCAGACTCTCTATTCCTTCTTTTCATTTCAAGACTGACTGAAACAGAGTTCTTCATCTATCACACCCAGACTTCTATTTATCTCCTTCCCATCACAATAGTTTTCACCAGAAATTTCTTGAAGAGTTCTCCTTAGACTCTCACATCCATGTCCATCCCTAAATCCTGGCAAGTCTTTCTTCATAAACTAATATATGGCTTTCCATTTTCATTCACATAGTTAAAACTCACACTCTCAAGGCCCGCCATCCCTGTATCAATTATTGCATCATCTTCTTCGCAAATGCTGTCTCCCCTGCTTGTATCCATGTGCAGTGCTCTTCCACAGATTTCCCTTTACTGTCTGTATTATGACATTCCCTCTGTTTATGTTTCTTCATTGATTCCTCCTTCTCGGTCACAAATACAAGTTTCTTGTCTTCAAATACAAAGCTCTTCGTGATTTATCCCCAGACATCATCTCCCTTCTGCCCTACCTTTGATGCCAGCCTTTGTCACTCAGTTGTTAGATTTTCAAAATTGATGAGTTCCCCTTTGCTGTCCTTCATGTTCTGAAGAAGTCACCTATAAATAACTGGAAATCTCTCTCGTAATACAAAATCCCTCTTAATTTTCTGTTTTGTGATTCCTACAACAGCAATCAACAGATTGCCGAGATGATGACCCATACTGCATTACTGGTTCATTTATATTACTCCATCATCTTCTATCTACTTAGTCTGTTACACAGAGAGTTTTAAGTGATTTCAGGAAGGGACTATCTTTTTGTCATACACGTATCATGTTCAAAGCATAGTGCAGTCCTAACCCATGAGTAAAGCCTTGAGGTTCTTTAGTAATACAAATATGAATCAAGTTTTACAAATGGATCACGGTGCCTGACTGTAAACATCAAAACCAAAGAAACCAGGAGGACTGCTGACATGCAGAGTAACTCACAGACCAAAGTATCACAGGATCAGTCATCATACCTTCATCTAGGTAAATCATCTTCTATTTCCACGATGAACCCAATTATTTCAATTAGATTTTCGTTTGCATAAGTACCAAGAGGTTTCAGAATCAGTCTGGAAGCAGGCAACAAACTCCCTTCATTGTACATGTGTTCTTTCAGTTTGTCTTAAATATGAGAATAAAATCTTGCATCCCTGACTACTCCTCCCCTTTTTAACATCAACTGTCAAGTCTCAGATCTAGAGCTGCTTCCTTACAAGGACTTTCACCCGGAGGAGCTATCCTGCTAACTTGGCAGCTCTCGATAACAGACAAAACTGGAGTGAAAGTAAACTTATTTTTCACTTATTTTCTGAATGTGTGTCAATGCACTTCAGGCCTAACAACTGACACTAGAATCATTAGGAATGTCTCTAAGACAGAAGGAAAAAAAAAACCCACAGATCAAGTTACCATATGTTCTTCTTCTACTTTTCTGAGTCAAAAGAGCCTTACAGTCACAACTGCCCTTCTAGACTCATGTAGTCTTTGTCTGCTGTGCACCCTATTAATCTTTGTTTTCCAAAAGATGTGCGGACTGTCAGTGAGATACTGTCTGTTCTCAAGAGGAACTTCAAATGCTTTCTCAGCACACTCAGTCATTTGATATCTACTCTTTTAAAGGAAAAAAGAGAACTCCAAAGTGAAGTTGTCAGGGCTGGCCTAGCCCCCCGCGACCAAGTCCTCCATACTCTCCTGAATTCTAATTGCTTCAGCTGTTCCTGCAGAGGAGGAAATTAGGCTTGTCCAGACAAAAGTAAGCTTATCAAAATAAACAAACATAATCTTGCCTATCCCTTGCTATCAGAAAGTTCCCAATACTCAGGCAAATACTTATTTTTCAGAATCTATCTCAAAGTATCACTCAACAAGTGTTGAATAAATCTTTCTTAGATAAAAATTATAAAGTTTCTTAGACAGATAAAACCTTCCACACTTCAGGCAAGTGTCACATTGTAGCCCCTCCAGCAAAAAGAACATTCGTGATCTACTGTGCTTAAAACAATTAATGGATTATCTTCCTATTTCTGGGTCTTGATTTCAGTTACTTACATGTAAGACAGCTGAATAACATCTCGCTGAAGATGGAAAAATACATACTACAGTTCTGAAGTCAGACAAAGCAGGAAAGTTTAGAACTGTCAATCTGACAGTTATTAAACTGTAAATGACTGAGATATGTAAATGCTGAGATACACTTATTTTTATTTTTCCTATCTACAATATTTGCTTAAGATCTCCACGTTTATTTACTTTGGAACTGATCATTAAAAGACAGGACTTTTTTCATTCTAGACTTCCTGATTTCTTGGATCTAGCCATCCACAGCTCTTGGATAACATAATGGTGCTAACCTGAAAATTGCCTGGACTTTTTACACTTTTGGGGTTCTTGGTTTTTTCAGTACATTTGAGAAAAGGTTTGGATTATGGTAGAAACTGCATTGGTAAGAAGTCAATACTTTAGATCCTTTATAAAATCACTTAATCTGTATTCATATCATATTAAGGCATTACTATAACTCATTACCAATTCTTGAATCATCATGACTGTTTAATATATGCCAGATCTCAATGCCTGCAGTCTATTTAGCACAGCCACATTATCATTTGCTTGCATAAAATTCAAGGGCTCACATAACTATATGTCTCCAAGCTATCTTTTAGACTAAATTTAGATTTGATCACCCAGAATCTGTACACTTCCCCAGTTCAGATCTCATCGTTGCCCTGCCCAGCGTGGCTGGAATTTTAGGGAAACCCCAGCTAACTACACAAAACTTCGAGAAGCAAGAAAATAAAGGGTGCAAATCAAGATTTAAATAAAAGGAAAAAGCAAGAGACGAGTATGAAAACACCATGGCCATGCCGATAACAACTGTGTGATCCCTAACTTCCACATCTCCTCCACAAACAGCCATATACATAAACAAGTCAGAAAAAGGAACTTTGAGGAGAAAAAGAGTAGGCTTTGTGTATCAACTTACAGTTTTAGAAGATTAATAAACCAGAGCTCTGATTCAGTGTATGCTACATATGCTTACAAGGGTTACCCTTTAACGTCAAAGAATACGTTGGAAGTATGAAATAGGAGTTTTACTATTTATCTGTGACTGCAAAAACATTTACAGTTGCTATTTTTAAACTTCAGCAAAATATCTTCAGAAGGCTCCTTGATGATTCAGTCAATCTTCATGCCTGTATAACACTCCTTGTTTTATTTCAGCTTTAAGATTTTTTTTTTTAATTTGTTGTTGCATTCATAACATACCCAGAGCTCCACTGTTCTATCATAAGAGCATGAAAGTATTTTAGTGTCTTCAAAGCAAAAGTGGCAGGTGCTCATAGTATCACTGTGTCCTCTCAGAATTTGAAATTGGATCTGTAAAGGAACACAGCAAAGTTAGGAGTATTTTTCCTTGAAACTATTTTTGACAGCTTAGTCCATGAGGGGGAGTATGAAAGCAAGAACTGGAGGAGAAAAAAGAATTTTAAGTTCCACTTCTCTTCTCAGAGTTCACATTCTCTCCTTGGTACTAGCTTGGAGCGGATTTACCAAATCCGGCTGAGAAAGAAAGGTTGACGGGTGTGGATTTTATTTTTGTTTTTCTGGAGGGGAAGGAGGCTTGGTTTGGTTTCCCAATTCTTCTTCCTCTCATGAAAAGTAAAATTTGTCTTTAAATCTCATGAAGTCTCTCTCACGTCTTTCAAACACTTGTTTCCTTGATTCCGGCCCATCAAAGGGCAGCACATCAAGCTCTCAGGCCACAGGTTTTAGCCAAGAAAGTTCAAAATATCTTTGACAAAATTTGTAAAAGGCTTTTCTTCAGTCATTTAGGAGTTTGCTCATGACTGTCCAGCATGCGTCTGTGTGAACTGAGCTAAAAAAACAGCCACCGTGAGCATTAACCACACGTAAAGCGACAGCGAGCTTTTCAACCCTCGGCTTCCAGCAGCCCCCGACTA